GTGTGGCCAGCTTTACGCCATTCTCTAGGTGTGGCCAATTGGGTGGGTGTGGCCAGCTTGATGCCATTCCCTGGGCGTGGCCAGCTTGACGCCATTCCCCAAACAGCTGGCATGTTTCCTTGTTGCACTGGGTAGGCCAGGCCAAAACCACGCAGGCTGACCCCTTACATTTTCCAGGACAGCCCTGCAGGCCGGATCCGACCACATCACTGGCTGCATCCAGCCTGCGGGCCTTGAGGTTGACATCCCTGCTCTAGACAGTATTTCTGCTGTTGTCCGCCTGGTGTGTGCATCATTTTATAAAAAAAACTTCTTAAGATTATAACGTGAAGTAAATAAAAGGGAATATTTGTAGCTCGGGGTTTGACTGGGGGCTCCTGGGGGCTCTCTGAGCTGGGTCGCTTCCTTGCAGACATTTCACAACCCAACTAGGTACCATCATCAATGCTAGTAGGGGTTTGCTGTCTGTTTATATGCAAGTAGCTTGCTCTGTTAATGTTGGTGGGAGTGATTTTGCTCATTCCTTGACTAAGCTGTGGCTTACTAGAAAAGGAAATTAACAATATTGTTGCTCACAGTCCCTCACACCCCAATGCCCTCTCGTCTGGACTACTGCAAAGCTCTCTACAAGGAGTTGCCCTTGAAGACCAATTGGAAACTTCAACTGGTGCAGAATTAGGCTGCACGGGTGGTAAAGAATGTCAGATACTGGATCCATGTAGTACCAGTAAGCTGCATTTGTGAGCTGCATGGGTTGACTGTGTGTTTCCAGGTGCTGGTTATCACCTTTAAAAGCCTTCCTGGCAGGGTTTTTTTTAAACCTTCTTAATGTGTTTCTATAGAGATACAAGTATTTCTCAACTTATGGGCACCATCGAGCCACAAATTTGCGTTGCTAAATTTTGTCAAGCAAGTTTCCCCCTGTTTTACGACTTTTCTCTCGCCACATTTATTAAGCCAATCCCTGCCGTTGTCAAACGAGTCGTACCAATTGTTGTTCAGTGGATCTGGCTTCCCCGTGGACTCGGCTTTTCAGAAAGTCGCAAAAGGGGACCCCTGGCAGACACTGCAGCCGTCATAAATGTGAATCAGCTGCCCATCATCTGAGTGTAAATCACGTGACCCTGGGGAATGCTGCAATGGTCGTGTGAAAAACGGCCGTGAGTCCATTTTTTTCCAATGCCTTCATGTAACTTTGAACAGTTACTAAGCAAACTGTTATAAGTTGAGGACTACCTGTATTTTGAAGGGATCCCTAGAAAGCAGTTTGTTTTAGTGCTCCTAGTTTTGAAAGAAGCGTATTTTAATACAGCCTATTCTCTCTATGTGTGTGTTTGTGTGTTTTTAAAGGAGACTTCAATTTTATCGTCCCAAATGTTGGCACCCAACCTAGGTAAGAAGCACGGATGGATTTGAATTCCCCACCCCATTCATGCCCGAAGGAAAAAAAGTTTCCCACTCTAGTTTTGGTTGTTCACTCCTCCAGACGTATTCCGTTAAGCGATTGTCATTTAAAAGTCTGTTGTCACCCTTGCAAAGGTAGCCTACTCAAGGGTGCTACCCTTTATTGCAAAGGTTACATAAAGGAAATGTCATACTTTTTGTGTCTGTGGGCGCAAAGAGAACCATACCTATTGTGAACTCCACTTAGGGATCAGGAAGAGCATCTGGCCAGTAAATGCTCACTCCCACCCAGTGGCCTTGACCTCAGCCTGAATTACAGGACTTACAGGGTCGTAAAAAGAAAAAAAAAACACATACGCACAAAGGAAATTTTGTAGTTTCTCTCTCTCAGAGCACGAAGAGGAAATACCTACTGCAAACTCCATGTAGGCGTCAGGAACAGGGGTATGCGATTCCATTGAGATGGAATTTTTGGAAGGATGAAATAAGAACGTGCACTGAAATTGCAAACTTGACAGACGAAAGTATGAAGTATAGAGCAGGGGTCCCCAACCACCGGTCCCCGGACCGGTACCGGTCCGTGGAACAATTTCTACCGGGCCGCTGGTTTGCTGGGCGCCGCCATCTTGTTTTGATGAAAAAGTGCTTCCGGTGAGCTTTTCCAGGTAGAAAGCGGCGTTTGGGTGCTGAAAGAATCCTCGCGCCTTAGTTTCATCGAGGGGGGCCCCGGCTTCGAACAAAACTAAGGCGCGAGGATTCTTTCAGCACTCATGGCAAGGCGAGCCGAGCGACCGTCCTGAAGCCGTCGCGAAGCCCATCGACACAGTACAAAGGAGGAGTTGAAGGTGGCGGGGAGAAGCGGGGGACGGCTGGCTGGCCGGTCGCTCGGCTCGCCTTGCCATGCGTGCTGATGCCGGTACCGGGCCGCAGATGATTTTGTGATGCCGGTACCGGGCCGCGGATGATTTTGTGATGCCGGTACCGGGCCGCGGCACAAAAAAGGTTGGGGGCCACTGCTATAGAGTATAAATATATGAGAGTTATTTAAAGTTTAAGAAAATAGGTTTAAGTAAGGAATTGAAAAAAATGTATAAAATAAGCTGGAGGAAAGTATCCGATCAAAAGAATACAAAATGGGTAAAAGTTATGGTAAGATATGAAATTAAATGTGAAAGATGAGTATGAAATTATAGTCATGTTTGTATGGAACTGTGATCACCCGGAATCATGCTGTTCACTAAAAGAAGATGTTTTTAATGGAAAACCGAAATGAAATATTATTAAAGGGACGGTGGTATGCTACCGGTTTGGACCGGTTTAACCGAACTGGTAATAAAAATTGTAAAAAAAAAAAAGCGCCTCCATCGATCAACTGAGAGGAGAAAGAAGAGAAAAGCGCAGGATCCGCCCTACCACCCGCCCTTGCGCTTCCTCTTCTTTACCCTCTTAGTTGATTGGTGCTTCAGGTCTCAGCTGGTGTGTGAAAAGCTGCGTCCGCGCGATCACCAAACCGGTAGTGGAACATTTAGGATCCCACTGCTGGTCAGGAAGAGCACCCGGCCAGTAAACGCCTCAGCTCCAGTCAGTCCCGAATTAAAGGGACTACAGGGGCATAAAAAGACAAAAAAAAAAATTGAAATTTTGTAGTTTTCCCCCCTGAGGAAGCAACGAGAAAATATCTACTCTGAACTCCACACAGGCATCAGGAAGGGCATCCGGCCAGTAAATGCTCAGCTCCAGGCAGTCACCCCGACTTAAGGGACTACAGGGCTGTAAAAAAGGAGAGAGAAAAACACACACAAAGGAAATTTGGCTAGTCCAGGGGTGTCAAACTCAATTTAATTGAGGGCCACATCACAGTTGTGTTTGACCTCGGGGGGGGGGGGGAGGATGGACATGGCCGGGGAGAGTGTGGCCAGCTTGACGTCTCTTTTCAAGGCTTCATTTTCGGCCATGGTAGCCTCTTGCAGCCCTCTGCCAATGAAAACAAAGCTTTGTTTTCACTGTCAGAGGGCTGCAGGAGGCCATTGAGGCCAAAACAGACCCTGGGAGAGCAACATGCAACCCTCCCGAGCTCCGTTTTCACTGGCAGAGGCACAGTGGACCGGTCCTTTGTTGTTTCCACAGCGTCCCAGATCTAATCACCCCGCAGCTGGATCCGGCCCATGGGCCTTGAGTTTGACGCCCCTGGGCTAAGTCTGAAAACACATCTCTCTCCCTCCCACACCTTTACAGTCGTAGACCCTGGGGTGGGGGTGGGGGTCCCATGAGAGACATAAGCCATGCCCACATTCCTTCTGCAGGCTCGGCTTCCTCCCGCTTCCAAGGTCATCCCCACAGACTTCACCATCTGTTTCTTTCTGCAGAACTCCCACTTTCGGAGCAATCGCATGGTGACATGGCAACTTACGTGAATATCCCCACAAGTCCCACAGCAAAGAAGCAACTCCATTACATGGAGGTGGAGCTTCAGGAACCCAGCAGGAGCATTCGAGGTAAGAATCTCCCAAAATGGCCAAGCAGGCAAGAGGATAATTTTTCCGTGACATTCACAATAAGCCTTTGGAATATAAAGCTTCTCTCCTCAATTCTCCTCCCCCCCAAAAAAATCTGGCTAAATATCCACGGTTATAGGTAATCCTTGACTTACTACTAGAATTGACACCCCCCAAATTTATGTCGCTAAGTGAGACGTTTGTTAAGTGAGGTGGGTTTTTTTAATAGCTTTTCTTGCCACATTGGTTCAAGGAATCCCTGCAGTTGTTAAGTCATGCGGTTGTTAGGGGGAGCTGGCTTCCCCATTGAGGAAGGTTGCAAACGAGGATCATACGACCCCGGGAACACTGCATCCGTCATACATGTGAGTCAGTCGCCAAGCGCCCAAATCTTGATCATGTGACCCAGGGGATTGTCAGCATGAAAAATGGTCACTCATCACTCTTGCAGTGTCATCGTAACTTCAAACAGTCACTAAATGAACTGTTGTAAATTTGTTGCAAAACTCACTTGATAAATGTTTCAGTTAGCAATGTAAATTTCAGGCTCAATTCTGGTCGTAAGTTGAGGCCTCCCTGTATAACCTGAAGGGGGCTTCCAGGCAGCTTTAGCGGGGGCAGGAAAAGAGGGAGGCTTCCCAGAAGAGCCAATCTAAGGTAGTCCTCGACTTACGTCCACAATTTCTGTTGCTAATGGAGACATTTGTTAAGTGAGCAATGTAGTTGTTAAGTGAATCCGGCTTCTCCACTGACTTTGCGTGTCAGAAGGTTGCAAAGAGTCATCACTGCAACCGTCATAAGTAGGAGTCAGTTGCCAAGCATCCAAATTTTAATTGTGTGGCCACAGGGGTGCTGCAACGGTCACAAAGTGTGAAAATTTTCCCTAATTCGCATCTTTCAGTACCGTTGTAACTTTGGACGGTCACTAAATGAAATGCTGTAAATCGAGGACTGCCTGTGTTCGCTCTCCGAAGCTTCCAGCGATCCAGAATGGAGGGCCCCTTACCGGTCCTCGCACAGAATCGAGATTCCCACTCTGCGGTTGTGGGATACGCTCAGTGGTGGGTTTCCAAATTTTTTCCTACCGGTTCTATGTGCCGCTTCGTGCGGCAATGAGCTGAGCTAAAAAAAACAACAAGGTGATCAGAAGTGGTATTTGGTGGTTCTCCGAAGTGGTCAAAATTTCCGCAACCGGTACGCCAGAACCGGTCTGAACCGGCTGAATACCGCCTCTGGATACACTGTGGCCAACGCAATGCTTTCATACCCAGGCAGTGACACCACAAAATACGCCCAGATTGACATCACCGCCACGGAGACGGCCCATAAGGTGGGCACCCAGCACGCCCACTTTCGAGAAAAGGAACTGGAGAAGAAAGACGGCGGACCACCCGGTTCTTCCTAAGGGGAGCAGAAATTCGCCACCTACCTGCGCTCGCCCTTCCAAATGCCGTCCCTGCCATTCAGATCAGGACGAGATTCATTCCAATGGACTCATTTTCCAGCAGGACAACTGGCAGCATGGCTGATGTGTGCGCCAAAGCCGCTCGTTGCAAAGATGGCACGACGCCTGTGGCGATTCTCCGTCATCCACGTCCATGGTTTGTCCCAAGGGGGCTTTTTTTCCAAGAGGCAACTGGACTTGCTTTGAAGATGTTTCGCTTCTCATCCAAGAAGCTTCTTCAGCTCCGACTGGATGGCGGGGAACGGAAGGATTTACACTCCTTGCAGACAGGCTGGTCATTTGCGTCCTTTTAGAGGGTCGTTGAGGCCACTTGGAGGTTGATCTGTGTCCTCAGAGTCACCTGAGTGGTGCAAATGGGGGTGGAATTGCTGGAAGGAGCTGTGTTGTAGATTGGAGATAGATGATGTCATATCCCTCCCCCTGTGTTGAGGGAGGGCCGTCAATTTTGACACAGATGGCCTCTTTGACCCCCTCTTCCAAACCAGCAGTTCTCTCTCTCCCTAAAAAAGGGGGATCTTTGGCACGCAAGGCATTAGGTACCAAAAACGGTTAAATCGAGGCATTTTGAGGACTCCCGCGTCCAAGAAAAGTGACTAGAACAAAAATATGCACAAAACGCAGGTCTGTACAGTGTACGTATTGTTCCGATTGCTTTTGTTAAGAGACAAAATGGCTTTGGGTTGTTATTGTTGTTATTATTATTATTTGTTTTTCGAAAAGCCGAAGGACACCTCTGCGTGATTAGGATCAGGCCATGGGATGAGGAGTGAGCAGCATGAAACAAACCCACTTTTAATTTTGCCTTCTTGTGTTACTGGGCACTTCTGGCTGGGGCGCACGCGTGTAGAAAGCAGTGATCTCCAAACTTGGTCACTTTAAGACCTGTGGACTTGAACTCCATGCTGGCTGAGGAATTCTGGGAATCAAAGTCTGGGAGTCAGCCCTTTGCCCCCCAACAATCTGAGTCCTCGTTTTACTCACCTCGGAAGGATGGAAGGCAGAGTCCACCTTGAGCCAGTCAGGATCAAACTGCTGGCAGTCGGCAGAGTAAGCCAGCAATACTGCATTCTAATCACTGAGAGGGAAGGGAGGGAGGGAGGACTTACTAACAATAGCACTTAGACTTATATACCGCTTCACAGTGCTTTTACAGCCCTCTCTAAGCAATTTACAGAGTTAGCCTCTTGTCCCACCAACAATCTGGGTCTTCATTTAACCAACCTTGGAGGGGTGAAAGAATGAGTCAACCTTGAGTCGGTCAGGATCGAACTGCTGGCAGTCGGCAGAGTAGGCCTGCAATACTGCATTCTAATCACTGGGAAGGAAGGAAGGAAGGAGGGAGGGAGGGAGGGAGGGAGGGAGGGAGGGAAGGAAAGGAAGAAAGAAAGACAGAAAGAAAGGAAGGAAGGAAGGAAGGAAGGAAGGAAGGAAGGAAGGAAGGAAGGGCAAGACAATTTCTCTTAGATTTATATACTGTTTCACAGTGCTTTAGAGCCCTCTCTAAGCTGTTTACAGAGTCAGCCTCTTGCTCCCCAACAATCCGGGTCCTCATTTTACGGACCTCAGAAGGATGAAAGGCTGAGTCAACCATGAGCCTGTCAGGTTGGAACTGCTGGCAGTCGGCAGAGTAAAACTGCAGTACTGCCTTCTAACCACTGCACCACCACGGCTCTTCTCCTGGTCGAAGAAGCTCTCAAAATGGAGGCAGGATATGGTCACGTGGCCGAAGGACGAGAAAACCAATTGTTCCCGTCTTACAGCAGATAATTGTGGGGTGCCTCTTGGCTGCAGCTGGTTTTGGGGCATCCAGCCAACCAACTTTAGAAGGAGGAGGAACAATTTGGAGAGCAGAAACCACCTCTTGTGGTCTGACCAGGGTGTTCCACGCTGCAGAAACCTGTTAAATTATGGAACCTATAATCAAAATGGTGCAGATCGATAGCTTGTCGTTCATTTAGCTACTTGGGTTTTGAAAAAAAAAAAAACTTGCGTGAGGCCTGGTTTCCTTTGGGCCCAGCAGAACCCCATCAACGGTGGGAGGTTTACTCCATGTCCTGCCCCTATAGAAATGGGGATTCTCGGTGCCCCACTTCCTTATTTTACTTCATCGTGTACATCAGGGGTCTCCAACCTTGGCCGCTTTAAGACTTGGGGACTTCAACTCCCAGAATTCCTCAGCCAGCTAGCTGGCTGAGGAA